TGCTAATGTGGATAAAGCAACCAAGGGATGAGTACAAAGGTGAAAAACAGTTTTCGCTCATCTTTTTCTACAAGACACAATGTCTTTGTAGAACGGGAGAGAAAGACAGCCAGGGCAAAAGGGAAGGGGGATTAAGGACTTTGCCGACAGAGAGAGGTTTGGGAAGATGGGCACGTGGCCTCTTTTGTCAAACCAACTTGAGTGTGTTGGTGTTATAACCAGCAGCAGGTGCACCACATCTTGATTCAATATTCAAACCTTATAGGAAGAACACCTTTATAGCCTCACTTTCATCTGTATTTGATGTTCCTTCACACCGATTATTAAAGCTTTGATAACGAAAGAGAAGCTTTAAGCTTCCGTGCTCTGCCCACCTGCCAGATCAGCAGCTTTAATTGGCACAGCTCTAACTAAGCATATAATTGTTAATTCACCAAAGTGTCCATAAAATGGTACATTGATTTGGTAATATAAAGAGAGAAATGTAGGCAGATATTTTCCACTGATGGCTCGAGAAAGTTAACGGTCCATTTTAAAGATCTACAAAATGAATTTTGTGTGAAAGTGTAAATGCAACGGACACACAGTCCATTACAACCACTCGTCAGAGCTCTCCAGCCTACTTAAACTGCTCGTCAACCAAGGCTCCGCTCACTTTTTTACTGCTCCCCCATTTGGTTGAACCTACACTATTTTATCCAAAAATACTCCTTTCTATATTGCTTTTGCCATACAAATACCAGTCCATAGAAAGGGGTGGGGGCCCCTGACCATTCAGAATGACTGAAGGCTGAGAGGATCCTGTGCCCACTGGACCGTTAAATGGTGAGTTCTTTGAGTTGTTGTGAAATCAGTGAGTGTATTCTTTGGATGGGATGAAAACTCCACTTCATGGCACATGATTGTAGTGCTGCCAGAAGAAAACATTTTAGAACTACTTTCAACCCTGTGCACCTCTAGTTTCCTGATATTCAACCAGGGGCAATGCTTCCTAAATTAATTTGCTATGACCCAATGCTCCCTGCTGTCTGCTCTGAGGCTTTAAACATATTTAGCAATAGCAGAAGGGGTTATGTCTGGACCACTCCTCGTCTGTCCGCCTGTTAGGGTTGAGAGAAAGCATTCTGGTGTTGGTACCTAATCATACTGTGATACTGTGGCCTGGAAAGCAAACAGCTGACAAACACATCCATGGCATGCAGAAACATGGTGGGAGCCATTGTTGTGGGCGAATGAACTCCACTGGCTCAGTTCGCACTCTGGCCTCCTCCGTCCGACTGTTTTTCATGGCCAGGAGGAAAAAAGAAAGTGGGTGGACTAGTATGTTTTATCAAGGTGCCATCTGTATGTCTGCATGAGGGCTCTCCACCACCATCTGTGTGTTGACATCACAGCGAGTTGTGTCCTGTGTGACTGCTGTCTGAGCCCGGGAGGCAGGGCCAGACGAGCAGGTGCCACCATGGCGAGCTTTCTGAGAGGGGAACTGAGCCATCTCCTTATATGAACATGTTCTTCAATCTTCTTTAATTCTATTACCGGGCTGATTACACAAAAGCAACACCATTTCCCCAGATGCAAAAAAAAAAAAAACACATTTAAACACAAGTACAGTGTATGAAATAACCTCAGATCAGGAAGTAACCTAAAAAAAAAACGACCTTCCTTTTCCAGTTAAGAGGATTAGATAATAACCTTTAAACACTTCTCGCATAAAGCTTAGCTATAGAAGTCAATGTTTGAACTCTGTGGTGGCGGGTCTCAGATGGTGGGAATAAAGAGTGAAAGAAAAACAAGCAGAGTTGTTATCCAGTCAAGGAGGTATTTTGCCTTTTTTTTTTTTTTTCTTCCAAAGGGGAACCTCAGCTTTAACAAAATAACTGTGCTCCTCCCAGTTTATCCAAGCATTGGACTTTGAAGAGAGCTCAAGTTGCAAACCAGCAAAGACGGCGAACCAAAGCCTCCTGTGTTCCTGTGAGGGTTAAATGAACAGCAATTATCCTGGGCTATTTTACCTGCAGAAATAAAAGGGAGGCAGAGAAACATGAATGAAAGAGGCCCAGCAGCCCTAGCTCACC